ACGCTGGCTTGATAATGAAGATCAGATGGCCAGAATAGTGAGAATAAGCAACAAGGAACTCACTCTGGATGGCTGATAATGAACCAACCAACAACCTACCACTCAACAAATATGCGGAAGGAAGTGGAGATGGATTGTCATGCACTGAGAAGACCTTTCGGGGACATCACACGACAGGCCAGGCACTCGGGTGAAACCCAGATGGGAAACGATTAGTTGGGTGTCTGAGGTGAGGGTGATATGGAGGAGATCATGTGAGTGAGAAATGAGTGTTTGTGGGCAGTCGTGGAGCCAGGTTGAAAAGATTGCAGAGAAGAGAGTGGAATGGAGACGTGCTACTGAAGCCGTATGTTCCACCAGGAACTCAAGGGACAAATAATAATAAGCTACATCAATGAGCGCGTTCAGTTAAATGAATTGAGCACATTTTAGCCTGTTAAAAGTAAACTGTGAGACTAACATATACACACCATTGTTGCATAAAAGGGACATCAAGATGAAGTCACTTAAAATGCACTTCTATGCTAAGTATTTAACAATCGCTGTTTGGCAAAGAATAAAAAGTGACTAACAGTGGAATCTAGGTTGCGTGTTTCTTCTTATGTAAGACTCATCAGATACATCTATCTACATTCAAATGAATGATGTTGTTTTCAGTGAGACTTGACTTAGCAGTCATCACTTACTGAGAGAGGCAGGTATATTTAGTTAATAAGATCTAAGCAGAAAGGAATGTATGTCCTGCATTTCACTGCTTATCACTGGTACCAAATTAAAATTACGCGCTACATTGAGACATTCACACTGCAGTCAATAGTGCCAACATTGATGGATTCATTCAACTTCAACCATTTAACGAAGAGAAAGTTTTAAAGTCATCATTAGTGATGCTTCCTTGTCAGGCAACCATACAAGGGTGAGTATATATCAAAACTGGAAGATAAATCTGATTCAATTAAGGAAAAACATAAGAGAATATATACAGTATAGATGACCTATCTTAACACATTTGAATGACGTACCAATACATTGAACATTGAAAGTTATTGAACAGAATATAATATAGCACTTACAATAAATTATAAATGGAGATTTTTTTAGATAAAATAATATAACAACAGAATTTACTAGACTTATCAATTTACCTTCTTTATACATTTGTAAATTACAAAATGCAGTACCACGTCTTATATGTGCACGTACACGTGATTTCAAATTTTGCAACACATGTGGTACACATAAATCCAAAACCATTGAACTATCTTCTAATGCTTTAAAATAATTGCGTAATTGTAAATGACATGCTGCTCGATTTGAATAAGCACTTTATAGTTTTTGATGATGGTATTGGTCAAAAAGTTGTACATTAAGGACTATAAACACATATATTTATTTAGAAAACAAAAAAGATTATGAATTAGAAGGCAGAAGACTTCATCACCAATCTTCTTGTGAATAGAGTTAAGCGTGAGGACAAATACTTACCAGTGATCCTAGGTGATGGTCGCACAATATCATGAATTGAAAAGCATTAGGGAATCGATACCACTAATGGTTTAATGGTAAGCAATACATAAGGAGACCTAACAGTGTCCAACTCCATCCTTCACAGGAATCTCAACTGCCCAGTGCTTCAAGATGTTTCATTTTCATATGCAGTCTATGTTGACTCATGACAAAGATCAAAATGAAACTATTCAGTACTTCATGGACAAATCAAGTGGATACGAACAGTTTCTTTACATAATAAAAACCGTAGGCAACTCATATCACAACATCAAGATAGAAGATGGTGGAAGAAAAGATAGAAAAACGGAAAAGCAAGTTAGCGAAAGTCTTAGAGATTCACAAGAAAAGAGAAGAAGGTAAAACGATAATGAAATGTTATTTGACGGTTAGGATAAGATGTTTGATAATGCATGAATGTTTTATAAAGCGGAAACTGTTGACGCTTACAATGTTTACAATTACATAATTTTACCAAATTTAACCATGAACCGATAGAAAAAACTTAGCTTAATGTTTATGGGGAGAACTATTGGAAACCTATGAGCACTGGACTTCTGTTTTTCTTTCTAGAGTAGGACTCCTCAGCAGTACGCAGATATGACCCCATCAGGGATCAAACTCAGGACCTTCAGGCCTCTTGACGAACGCGCTACCCATTCAGTCACCAGGTCAGAGTTCAATGACTTACAGTTTCCTACTTCTAATATTTCATAAAATAACGTGACTATCCACAAAGGTCTTCAATTGGCTTCTGCTTCATTTCGGACTGACTGATGTCAAACATCACAGCTTCTCATTAGAACTTCGGGATACCCATCTTAAAGCATTTCACTAATGAGCACTATGCGGTAATTTACTTTGAGGTTTAAGGCTGTTTTATTTATTTCAGGTTGGTATTCATGTTAAGAATAACATGAAAAAGTTAAGCAACTGTAAACATTTTACATCAATTAATTTTGCATACCACTTAACGACTAGCAAATTGTATCATCTTATCAAACGATTTCTGAATCTAGAAATGAATAGGTTCTTTAAGATTGTCAGCAATACCTGTCGCCTAAAAATTATCAGGTTCAATGTGTGATCCATAGATGTGAATGGAGAGATTTCCTGAGAACACTTATCATCTTGGTTGTATTGTGTTCTCTGAGCTGGGTTGTTTAATCGTGTTGTTTAACTCTTTCTCCATTGTGAATTAGATGTCATTGAAAACGTTGTTGATCAAACTGTGGGTGTTTTCTATATCATCGTTTTTTAATGATGACAAAAGTGTCGTCCACATAGCGAATCCAAATTTTTGGTTTGATTACAGGTGGAATAAGGGCTACCAGTTTCTGTATCACTGTTTATGCAATTAATCTGGATATCGGTGATCTCATTGGAGTTCCTTTCATCTGTTTGTATATCTTGCCGTTGAATTGGAAGTATGTTGCCAGACAAAGGTCGATGAGTTCCATCAAACTTGAACATTTGAGTTTTATGCGTTCTGAAAGGTTTTCATCTTCATTGATCAGGAGGGATATCGTTTCCTTGGCCACTTTAGATTTGATTGATGTGTATAGTGCTGTAACATCGAAGGATATCATTAATTCATCGTCTTCTATGTTAATGCTTTTGATCTTTTCTAAGAAATCCGTTGGTGACTTGATGTGATGTCCGCATGATTGAACGAGGTGTCTCAGTTTTCTCGAAAGTTCTCTTGATATGTTGTATGTTGGAGTTCCTGGAAGTGAGACAATTGGTCGTAGAGGGATACAGGGTTTGTATAGTTTTGGTCTACCGTAGAATCGAAGAAGAATAGGTTCATTCGATTTCATTCTCCATTTGTCTTGCTTTGTTATTTCGTCCGCTTTGAAGAGTTTGTTCAAGGTTTTATTGATCTGGTTGTCAAACTTTTGGATAGGGTTAGTTCCAAGTGGTTGATATACACTTTCGTCTTTGAGTAATTCATTTGCCTTCTTGATATAGTCTTCTTTGTCCATGACGACTGTAGTGCAACTTTTGTCTGCTGGAAGTATAACGATATCTTTCCTATTTTTTCAGTCTTTTTATTGTTTTCTGTCCTTGAGTGTTCATTTGAGCATGATGTCTCCTCTGCCTAGTTAGTGATACGACTGTTTGCCGTATTTTTTGTTGAGTGACGTCATTTAATTCTGATGTTTTAAGTGACGATTCTAATGTCGCAAAGAATTCTGCTTTCGTGGCATCTCTTGTGTTGTAATTCAATCCTTTTTGAAGAAGTTCTTCCATTTTCGTTAGTGGTTCCTTTGATAAGTTGGTAACGCAGTCGTTTGTTTCTTTGGTTGTAGGTGCTTCTGAGATTTCGAGTAGCTTCGTCCTGAGGACTTTTCTTCGTTGTTCTTTGTATCGTCTGCTTGATTTTTCAGTTGGTTAAAATGAATTTCCAGAAATCTCCTAGAAGAACTTGCCATGACGTCTTAAATTCTCTATATTCAACAGTTTTATTCTACATAACTAACCTATAGCGATTCGCAGACGAATTGTTTTCTTGTGGTTAATTGCAATTGTAATCTTTTGAAAAGAATCTGATGCTTCTAGTTTTAGACATGCATTATAACTCACAAAACAGAAGGAAAATACTCGATTTTTCGTCACAAACTAATAGACTTCGCCAGGTACAGGCATACTTCTTCGATAATTTCATTTGTCTTTAGAGTGGCATATAAAATCACTCTATATAATTGTTTCAACTTAGTTTCTACCATTTAAACTGAGTATCAACCCCATTCAGTTCAGTTCAATGACATTTACATTAATAGTGATTGATCAAAATTTGTTAATTTATTCAAGAAAACCATCATTTCATTGTTAATAAACTGCCAATTTCAGTTACAAAGTACTGTAAACAATAGCAACGCTAACTGAGTAGCTATAAGTAGTCTTTTGTTATCAACGCTGAAAAAATCAACGTAGAACCTCGCATACAAGTGCATCGAGTCAAGTTGCCATTCTTCATAGTAGTACACAAAGAACAGGTGGATTGAAAAAGATTGACATCATAGAAGATAAAGTAGTATGAAAGAATAAACAATATGAAAATGAAGGTTGGTGCAAATTCTCAAGGTTATTACATGTGTACCATTGTCACTGATTTTCACCCATGTCACCATGAGTCTTCAACCACTGATTCTTGTCGTCTCGAGGATCTCAACCAGGTGGTCTACATCTCCCCCCACACACACCTCACACCAACAGTCAGAGACTTCATCACCTAGTCCTATGTCTTGGTCTGGCCACCCTTAACCCTCTTCCAACTTAAGGCAACTTCCCCTATAAGGTCACGTTCAGATAGGTGGTGGTATGGCATAAGTAGTGCATACCTAACCCACCTCAGTAGACTTAGGTTCCCAACCTCATTAATCGACTTACCTGTATTGCCTAGTACCCTTCTCCTGACCTCTGGGGAAGAGTAAATAAAATTTTACGTGATAAATTTATCTCTCCTGATACAGTTAAAGGCTCCATTGGAAGATGAGTAGCATAATATCCTGTATATTAAATATTATTTGAAAAATAGATGAATTACAGCAGAATGTCACATAAAGGTGTATCAGCTAATGTTATTATATAACAGAATAGAACAAAAACCGAACAGAAAAGTATTTTTAACAATAAAGAGAATGGAGCAACATGAATAGTAAGTATAAGGTGGTAAGTTAGTTAAACATTACACAGACCAAGAAGTGAGTAATATCATGATAAGAATTAAAATTTCAATCAACTGATGCAATTTTGTTCACAGAATCGTGAACTTATGCTGATGTGAATGGTTGGGATATGATGAATATACTATATCACACTGTAGTATCTATCTACCCTATCAAGAACAGACTCAGAAGTGGAATCGTTTGCACTCGACAATTAATACCAAATAACAAAGGATACGAGTGTAATTTAGGATTTTGTGATATAGCTTCAGTATAAGCAATCACTGCAGCTTCATAATCTCCAGCTTGAAATAATGAACTAAAATGAATAAAATAAATTACTTTGTTTATAAATTATCCAACTTATATATATATATATATATATATATATATATATATATATATATATATATATAATGATTATTATTATTTTTCCCTTGGGTTCCTAGTGGAACATATGGCTTCAGTAGCACGCCTCCATTCCACTCTCTTCTCTGCAGTCCTTTGGACCTGGCTCCGCGAGTGCCGACAAGCTTTCATTTTTTCCTCATATGATCTCCTCCATGTCACCCTCAGCTCGGACGCCCAACTCGTTGTTTCCCCTTTGGATTCCACTCGACGGGCTAGCCTGGTGCCTAATGTCCCCACTCGGCCTTAGTGTATACCCAATCTATCTCCATTTTCTTCTGTTGGGTAATAGGTTATTTGCCAGAGTTCCCGGTTGCTCATTCTTCCTGGCCATCTGACCTTCAGTGTAGAGAATAGGCAGCTGCTGATGAATGTCTGCAGTTGTTTGTTGGAAATGCTTTTCGTGACAAGCCAAGTTTCTGAACCATATAGCAGCACTGACTTGACTGAATTGTTGTTGAAAATCCGGATCTTGTTCTTTGTGCTGAATGCAGTGCAGTAGATCTCCACACTGATTTCAGATTAGTGAAAGCCTGTCTTGCTTTTCTGATCCTGGTTTTTACATCCTTGTCTGTGCCGCCGCCCGTAGTTAAAACGATGCTGCCTAGGTAGATAGGTAGGTAGGTGAAAGAGACCACTTGCTTTAGGTTTCTCCTGTTCATGGTGATTGGTGCTTGTTGTTGATGTTCTTGTTGGTTGGGTATCTTCATCAAAAACCCGTTATTGTGGGAAAACAGTACACAGTGGCGAATATGTCAGTGTTATGTATGTCATGTCTTAGATGTTCTTCCTGAAATTAATATGATTCAGCCAAGTGTTCTCAAAAAGCGTTATGACATCTTTTGCATAGGTTCCACATAGGTACCACATAAAAATGATGATATTACTGATCAAGCGCTCTTAACAGAGAACAAGCAACTGTACTTCCATTTTAAACGAATAACTTCTAGCAATACACTTGTTTAACAGCTTGCAAGACTAGCCAATATATTTCATACAAGTATATTACCATTCATTTTGTTAATCTGTGCTTGGTCTGTTGTCTAATTAGCCAGATTCTGTTGATGTGAACAATTCTGCTTTTTAGTTGGTTGGAGACAATCGGCAGGAAGCCTTGGATTTAGGTTTCGTGCTTTTGCCACTTGACAGCAAGGCGTATCTGCAACCTAGGTGGAACTGATGTCCCGCCTGAGATTCAAACATGTAAGCCAGTCCTACAGAAAGTTAATCGCGGCCCAAATAGCTCAGTGATAAAGTCGCTGACTACAACACTGCGTGACGCAGGTCCGAACCGCAGGCGGGACATCAGTTCCGCCGAGGTTGCAGACACGCCTTTCTTCCAGAGTTTCCTGCCGATTGCCTCCAACTAACATCTACTAATGTGCACCGCAATACCGAGCTTCCTAGCTTGTTTGCCACATTGCAAATATGATCGATAGGATTCGGTCTGCACTCAAGACTAGACAACATGAAATTGGTTGCACTCCCGTGACCAATTAATACAATTCTGCTTTTTAAGTTATGCTGGTCCCAATACACCGCTGATGAACTCCACCTCACAGATGCAAAACGATTGTCCAGTGTTTAGATCACTCGCATTTGGCTAGCAAAACTTACGGATCAGTTTGAATGGTTCATATATACTCATATTGTTCTGAAGTGTATCTCTGCAGCATACCACTTGTCTCCAGTTGGAGTGCAATTTGATTTATCTGTTTTCCAGTTAAAGCCTATCAAAATCTTCGTGTTCAAAAATAAAACTTTAAAAAACGATCAACATTCACTGAAAGCAAGAATTTCCAAACCGAAACCCATACAATATAATCTTTTTGATGTTAACCAACAGTGGAATCGAGGACTCGTGCCACTTCATGGCTGGGATTCGTTAGGTGTGTATCTACATCCATTTATGTGGTAGTAATGATACCGGTTGCACAAAGCGTGATTCTCGTAACTCAGTTAGATAGTAAATGACGCCCTAACATTTGAAGTAGTGAGTTTCAGGATCCAGTTTCATTGAGAACTGCACCACTCACTGAGATACAACTGCATTGAGTTATTCTAATACTATCCATCCACAGGTAGATAACACTATAATGAATATTAAAGCAATATCGAGACAAAATGGTAAAAGCGTAAAACTTACTCTCCTTTCTTGCGTAACCAGATAGGATCCACTTCATTCCTTGATAGGTCATTAGGTATAACTCGATCCAATAATTTTCTTCTATATTCAGCTTGTTTACTTAACCACTAAAGGATAAATGATCACAAGAAACAAACACCTTGGAAATGATGTTTATGTACTTAACAGTATTACCAAACAACTGAATGTAGACAAATAAACAAATGAACATATGACCTGGCGTAAAAATGCACCTGTTCAAGCTGTCCTGCATGACAGAAGAATGAAAGTTTTGTAGAAAATGAATGATATAAACGGTCACAAAAGTGTATGACAAGAAAAAGTATAAATAGATGAACATTACTAAAATTATTTAAGAATTCGAAGATGACAAAGAATGAACACATCTACGCCGTTGTGTTCAGTTATGAGACATATCATCAAGTCTCCAGCTATCGATTTTTATTATCTAAAAGACCCAACCCAATGGTCTACACCACTTTACTCTGCTCGAATTAATAGTCAAAGACTTTATGATCTAGTGTCAATTCTTGATCTAGACAATCTGTAGACTTTTTCCAAAGCAATCTGGTCTAGGCCAACATTGTACTTCAAGGTAGATGATGGCTTGACGTGTGCAACATGTGTGTTCAAACCACCTAAGTCACTGAAGTTTAACAATCTCATCGAATGACTTACTGGGGAGATTTCTCTCCCCAGTAATTTGCACCTAACCTCACCATCTCTCACACAATGATTCAATCGAACGTGAATAATATTATGAAGATGACTGTGATGAAGAACGCTAACCTCTGCATATCTTCTGCTTTCAGTGGTCATGCCTCAAAGCATTACAACTGAATGTTAAACATACTTTATTCTTAAACTAATTCGTTTAAAGTTAGTGTTATTGCTTGTATTACACCGTCGTTGATTGGACTGAATTCACCAGTCTCTGTTGGCATATGGGCTCCTGTGCAGATGCCTCGATATTGCTTGTGTTTCAATTTGGTATAGTAATGATGGGTAGTGGCTAGCAGTGGAATTCACGATGCGCATTTCGTCCTATTTGGGAATCGTTAATTGGATGTACCTGCCTCCCAGTGAGTGATTTTGTTCCCACCGGGATTTGGACCCGGGAGCGATCACTTCAAATGCAAGAGCGTTATCCACCACACTAGCGAGCCACGATACAAGCTATAATACTAAAACTATACCAGTCGCACAAGAAGTGGCTATCGTGGCTCGCTGGTGTAGTGGATAACACTCTCGCATTTGAAGTGATCGCTCCCGAGTTGGAATCACGGGGGGAACGATATCATTCACAAGGATGGCAGGTACGTCCAGGTGACGAGTCCCAAATACGACGAAATGTGCATCGTGGATTCTACTACCCATCATTACTATACATAATTAGTTTAAACATTGCAGCTTTGAAACTAATGCGTATTTAGAAAAATGTTTTAATTTTTATGAGTAAAAACGTTTTTGCCGATTACCGCCACATGATGAGGATAATTTAATGTGTGATTAAGCCATCTGAAGATAAACACAATTACAAGCCTACCCAATGCATACGGTACTCTAAACAAACAAAACATTTTGTGTCAAGCTTGAATCATGACAACAGAGTATCAGCAGAATTCTTCAAGTTATTTATGTACATTCAGGAGACTATGCGAAGAGTTTACCGGGAACACAATGACTTAATTCATAAATTAATGTTTTTTCTAAATAACTTAATTAGACACGATTTAAAAGCATTACAGTTTCACAGGGAGAAGTACTTAATTTTCTTAGAGTTAGTATGATCCCAGTTTAAACTTACCTCCTCTTCAGCTTGTTTTACTGATTCTCTCTCAGGTGTAGGAAATATTCTAGGTGTGAATTTTACTTCAATGGTAGATGATGTTCTAATGGGCAAATCAATTGGTTTCTCAGTAAAAATAGATTTTCTTTGAATTTCTCCAGTTAATTTTATATTATCTGAAGATTATGTTTAATTGTTGAATGAGATAACTAACTTTTATTTACATCAGACGCAATTTTGTGCATCTGTTCTTTAACTAACAAGCGAGCCTCTTGAATCTTCTTCTGCATCTATCAGAAGTAGGAAAAAAAAGAAACGAAAATTGTGTGCTCATCTATTTGTTTGGACAAGTAAGAAGTCTCAAAAATAGTAGCCGATTTCTCAAGTATTGTAAATCGTTACACTTCCATACTTGATTGTTTATTTCATACAGCACACAGTGATACAATATTATCTACTGGATGACGTTTTGACCACAAACAATTTCTCATAGTCTCATCATAATAATCACTTTTACAGTACAACAGTTCTTCAGCCTTAAGTCATGAAAAAGATTTGTAGCTCAGGATGTAGATGACGATTGTATATTAGATAAAGAACTTCAGTTTCTCCTGGATAAAAATGTATTGAATGACTGAGAGAATTCAAAACATAGTACAATAGTTTACACAGACAAACACATGCATCCAGGCTCCAAGGCTGTGCTATGGTGGGAAAACGGCAGAAGTAAGACAGACAGACAAACAAAGCAGACATGTGGATCCAAGGCTTGCATAATCTTCACTGATAACTCCATCTAACAGCTCAAAGATTGGATAAATAGGAATAGATGATTCACAATGTTCCTGAGTGATATCAACCATCATAACTACAAAGCATAAATTCCTTTTGATTTATATTCAAAATAGGGAACTTCAGAGTTATATTGATAGACAAGGTTAGAGTATTTCATGAGATGAAATACTGTTCATTCACGAAAACTTGGGAAATTGATTAAAACGCTCACTGGAAATCAGCAAAATCATTGTTATAACAGTTCTGAGCAAGTGAATTGGTGGGATATGAACAATTGCTAGAGAAGAATTCACAAGTGAATTAGGAAATAAACAGACTTTCTAAAGGATTAATTGGAACTCCAAGTGAAGCTGTCATTGACACCCGAAAAGATCTGGAGTAGTTATTTCAGGACAATATGAGGGAAAGCAGCTAGTCTTCACCTTCAATAATATCAACAGTTAATATGATGGTTGAATGGAAACTTTAGGATTGTAGAACTTAGTCATATCATTCAAAATTATCAACGTTATATGTGAATGTCAAAGTGTCAGGTGAAATTGTAGTGAATGTCATGGTTACCATTAACTTAGATTAAGACCAATCACCATCAATGGGAGAAACCTAAAAGAAGTAGCCTCCTTCACCTATCTCAGCAGCACTGTTTCAACTGCAGGCGGCACAGACGAGGACGTCAAGCAGCCAGGATCGAAAAGACAGCAAGACAGGCCTTCCTTCACTAACCTGAAACTAGTGTGGAGATCTTCTGCACTCAGCATGTGAAACAATATTAGGATTTTCAACACCAATGTCAATCAAGTCAGTGCTCCTGTATGGTTCAGAGACTTGGTGCGTTACGAAAGGCATTTCCAACAAACTACAGTTATTCATCAACAACTGATCACGCTTGCTCGTTACTGAAGCTCAGATGGCCAGAAAGAATAAGCGACAAGGAACTCTGGCTGGGGAACGAACCAACCAAGAAGCTATCGCTCAACAAATGTGCAGTGGAAGGAAGTGGAGATGGATGGGATTGGGCATACACTGAGAAGGCCGACTGGGGACATCACACGCCAGGCCAGGCACTCGAGTGGAACCCAGATGGGAAATGGCGAGCTGGGCGTCCCAGCTGTGGGTGACATGCAGGAGATCGTGTGAGGAAGAAATGAGATCTTCTGGACAGTCATGGAGCCAGGTTGATAAGATTGTAGAGAAGAGAGTGGAATGTAGACGTGCTACTGAATCCCTATGTTCCACTAGGAACCCAAGGGACAGATAAATAAATAAATATAAGATCATGAAAAATGGATCACGATGATCCCAAACTATTTTTGATCCATCATGATGTAGAAAGGTGTAGTAACTTGAAATGATGAAATATTGAACATTGACTTAACAAATACATCAAGAAAAAGAAGTTGAAACTATCTAGTAGGTTATGAAATTCACCAATCACTTTCCAAGGAAAACAGTCAAATATAAATGAGTAAAATAAAAAAGGTACACTATTTCTTTTCAACTGTAAGCCAACTAACTAACTCACTCACTTCATTCTTTTCTTCATCAGTTTCCTTATGAATAGTCATAAAATCTTGTAAGATTTGTTTACCAGCCTCTTCTTTTTCTAACTTTATTTTCTCACGAGATAAACTTTCCAACTGGTTATAATGATGAATAATTTTTTTTATTTTTTTGATAAAAAGATTTCAATATACCTTCATAACTTGTTCTAAGGCATATTTTTCACCTTTTCTATTCATTTCTTTATTTGTTTTAACACGTTTCTGTTCATGTTCTTGATGTTCCAGTATAGCATCTTGTTTAATTTGTAGTAGACTCTTTTTATCCTCTAAAGGATTGAGTAATACGTATTAAATAAACAAAATCCTATATATATATATATATATATATATATATATATATATATATATATATATATATATGCCTACAATTACTCATTGCATCTGATGTCAATTGTTTCCATAATTCTGCATTAATCTTCTTCAAATTAAACTCAGCTATACCATCAATCAACTTTAAAGTACTTTCTTCTACATTGATCGATTTGTAGAGTACACATTCAAAAATGTACGGTTTGATAACAATCTGTAAAATATACAATATAAAAAGGATATATAGAAAACAATTTAGATAAGGAATGATAATTGTACATCTAAAATATGCAAACAGTTAAACCTTTAAATGAAACAAATGAAATCATACCGATGATTCAATTACTTGCTTAGTAACGGCTAGCTATGGAACCTAAGACACGTGTTTCATACTAGTTAGCATTCGTCAGGGGGATGCAAATAACATCAATATAACACTATAACATACATTATTTAAAATGAAGTTTCATTAGGTACATTTTGAATTGATAACGTCTTATATATGACCTTACTTTGACACTGACCATTTGACCTTAGATGCCGATGATTACAGGAGAAAAATTTAATATACATTTTTGAGATGAATGGGGATTTTTTTAATTTAGAAGTAGTATTAATCACGGACTAACACCAGTTGAAGAATCATTGAAAATTTGGGAGCACTGGACAGCTGTTTCATCCTACTATGGGAAACCTCAGCAGTACGCACCCACCACCCAACTAGGAATCTAACTCATAACCTTCAGGTTTCACGGCGAACACGTTAACCATTCAGCCATTGGGTCGGTTTCCAGTGGTTCACAATTTCCAATTTCTGTCAATTCATGACATAGCACGATTATCACCCAAGGTCTTCAGTTAGCATCCACTTCACTTCCGACTGGTTGACCCTCACAGGTCACAGCTTCTCATTAGAGCCTCCTGATATCCATCTGCGTACTGAGGAGTCCCATACTAGGACGCAACAGCTGTCCAGTGCTCCCAGATTTTCAGTGGTCCCCCAACTGACGTCAGTCCATGATGAATACTATTTCTAAATTGAAAATCCCCATTTACCCCAAAAATATATTACTGTATAGTGCTCATTAGTGACTTGCTTCCAGATCGATATCATGAAGCTGTATTGAGAAGCTGTGACCTGTGAAGGTCAACCAGTCGGAAGTGAAATGGATGCTAACTGAAGACCTTGGGTGATAATCGCGCTATGTCATGAATTGACAGGAATTGGAAATTGTGAACCACTGGAAACCGACTCAATGGCTGAATGGTCAACGGGATCGCCGTGGAACCTGAAGGTCATGAGTTAGATCCCTAGTTGGGTGGTGGGTGCGTACTGCTGAGGTTTCCCATAGTAGGATGAAACACCTGTCCAGTGCTCCCAGATTTTCAATGATTCTTCAACTAGTGTCAATCCATGATGAATAATACTTCTAAACATTTAATAGTTAGATTGAATTCTTCCCACAAATTTAAAAATCAAGGGTCAAAAGAAAGAGAGATAAAGGAAGAAAGAATTATTCGATAATTTTCTAGAGATTCCCTTGATGATGTTAAAATGTGATAACTGTTTAATGTTTCTCTAGTTTTTATGTTTGCTCCTGTAGGTTGAACTGGCATCATGTGGAGCCTAATATAACCACTGACATTTGTCTCAACCAAAAGGCTTATATTTCTAGGTTTATAATATGAATTACAATCAGATACTTCGCTGGTTGAATATTTCATTCAGTCTATTTACTTTTCTCTAATGTTTTATGAATGACATAAGCAATATCATGCAATTTCTAGCCAGACTCAAACTCAAAAGTAGCAAGGAAAGACATGAATTCGTGTATGTAGAATAGTTTTCCTTTATATTTATGTTATCCTGAAATATCTAACAAAAGCTGCAAGTCAACTTATTTCCTTACATACCATTGAACTTGATTAGTAGTGGTGTTAAAAACGAAAAACTCAATCACCTTCGAAAATAAAATCTATTGGGTTAAATGTTAAATTTTGTAAATTTTTTTTATTTTTAGTACAACCTTAGGCTTGTCTTTAACTTCAAATCATAATCTTTTAGATATTTGTTCATTGAAAACAAAACCTAAAATTCACACTGTATAAATGCAAACAGATTTCCTTTGTATTAAGGTTTCATCAAGTATCTAATTATAAATTAACTCTCCAGGATTAAGGAGCTTAGAAAACGATGGCCAATTTTTGTTCAGTAAGTTTAATTACAACTCACTATGAAACCCAGTTAGCCTTATCCTGTCTCAAATAGCATACAGTAAACGTAACGCCAATAACTAAAGGGAAAATATGTTAGTTCATATTAGTTGAATTTGAAAATCTTTTCTTCATCCTTTCGATTCATAAACATTTAGCATGAAGTAAAGTATACATGCATACTGAATAAAGTTTATTTTATGCTTGAAATTCTTTAACAATTATTCTCTTAAGAATCCTGATAGATATTTATCCCTATATTCGACTACTAATTCATTCATGCTTTGTCATATGACAGTTGATGACGTGGTGGAGTTTTACAGGGTTCAATAGTAGAGTTTGTTTTCAGTTAAATCCACGTTAACGATTTTCCTCTGAGAGGTTTTTTGGGGAAACGTTATATTTTCTGATGGTGTTAAATTATGTAAATAATCTTCAATTAATAAAGTTAAACCATTTTTGCAGTAGGAATAGTTCCAACTTGAAAAACTCAACTGATAATAGAAGGCTTATAGTGAACTGTCCCTCAAGAATTGAACGAAACTTCTGAAAAGTCTCAGACATCAGATGTAAATGTATTCACTGAAGAAGAGCAGAAGACGGTTAACAGAAGATGTAGACAATTTAAAAGCATCCCTTTAGATGTGTATAGTTAGGTGTTGAAAACTGGCTTTATTAAAAGTAAAAGCGATCGAAAAGCTCCCAGTATTGTGGAAAAGGGTGAACCCCCACTCCCCTAAAAGGAAACAGAAAACAACGAGTTGCATGCGGATCGATGATATGCAACTCAGTAGAGTCAGAAGAATCGGAACCTTTCTAGCAACATCTCCATGAGCCAGACTTTGCAAAGTCGCTGGTCTAGAAAATTCTTACTGGAAATGCCTCTGGTCTAAGTTTTTGGAAGTTTGCGGTGATAGTCAAAACACTGGTTAGTAACAACAGATCCACTAGATGCCGGTTTCTTGATGTTATGAAGAATAAGGGAAGCAGTTGTTTTTTAGAGCATTTGTGACAGTTGCTATTAGCATAACAATTAAGCCTGACTGCTCATTGCAAGTTAGGGTAAAAGGACCAGAGGCTATGAGAACTAAAAACTGGGTTTCCAAACAATCAAGTCCTGCAAGAAAACGCTTCAGTGACCTGTGTAAAAACCTCTTATGAACTAATAACTACAAAATTTCCTTCACACAAGCTCTCGTAGCCTTGGGAACAAATTTTCTGGCCTGGGAGATTTGGTGGGTGAAATTCAAGCAGTTTCGGTAACCGTAACAGAAACATGGTTCATTCCTGATCTGAGTGAAACGTCACAGTTATCAGGATACAATTTATCTTGAAGTGCAAGGAATGAAGACACCAAGATTGATGGAATAGTGCTATATCTGAAGTATGATATCCACACATTATCCATCGTTGTTTTAGTCAATGATAGTGGAACTTTTGACGACATGAGGCTGCGGTAGATTAGTCTACATAATGGCTCTGAGAAATCAACACCATCAAGAGCCTAGTCAAGCGAATAGGTCAGGAAGATCCACGTGACTACTTGGTTGAAGATATTCTGATACCCGAAATGAGTTAACACAGTGGGTTAGGTATTGTAATTAGTCATATCTTTACAGTATCATCTAACTGTAGAGTGGCAGTTGTCACACGCTTCCATATCTTTTGGTCCTCACGAAAAGTGTTTCACAAATTTTACGAGAATATGTTTCCCATCATATCAACAAAATAGGCGGAACGTCATTTCGAGAAGGGGACTGAAACAGAAAGCCCATAAAGATGAATTACTAGCGCACTTACAGAGGGTAGAAATCAAGACAGTCAAAGGGTCCTGTAAACCATTCCTAAAAAAAAAACAGGATCAACTAGGTCAAGACCTAGTCTATAGTGGAAATAGACGGGTGATGATGAGTGATCTCATTTGAATGTACTGCATGTTGAAAAGTGACTTGTTAACTAAGTTATACTATTTACTTTTCCCCCATAGGACCGTCTACCTCAGAAAACTTAGTCAAAAAGTTCGTGAACCCCAATCAATTTTCAGTCTAATATTTTCGCAGCAAAACCTTAAGGAATGCAGGGCAGACCATCAGTAACTTGGGGCAGAATGCAGAGTCATTTACTGAACATGCGGCAAAATGAATGAAACTCGGGGCAAACTGAAAATAAAAAAGAGTCAAGTCGAAAAACTATGGGGTAAAGCTCGAGGAAATGCTGCAAAACCACCCCCCCACACACATTTTATCCCACGTTTCGCGCCAAGTTTTGAATGAAATCTTTTTCAATGATCTCCCGTCTGTCTTCACAAAAATTTTGACTGGGCTACATCTGGAAATACCTTTCTCATCCAGTGTTGTTCACCACTGGAACCTTCTACCAAAGCATATACTACCTGAATCCCCTATGGATACTTTTAAACTGATATTGGATCTCCATTGTAAAAATTATTACATCGTTGGTCTTGTATCCTTATTTTTGTAAACAGATCCGATGGCAACTTAGAAAAAACAACACAAAACAGGGTGTAGCAAGTATCTTCAGGTTCTCGCTTCCTCAGAGCTAGAAAACCCTGTCTGAAAACTACTGAATGCAAGATTAGGTCAACTTTCGATGAAAGATACGGGTTTAGAGAACTCTTACCGCTAACTAAAGAGCTCTCCAGGCCAAAGTTCCTGACCAGCTAAGTGAACTAGCTAGCGACAAAAAGCACACAAAAGGAGATGAAAAACCATTCTGGAGCTGTCATTGTCCAGGTCACTGAACTAGTTTCCAGTCAATCTTGCAAACCTGACTCAGAGAAATGACAAGTAATTAAGTCTAAACGACACGCCGAAACACCGGTAACGGTTTCAGACCCACTCCATAGAGCGAAAATAAAGTAGAGCTCCTTGAAAGGGCTGTAATCTTCCACAAAATGGGAGAAAGTAGAGACCCAGAACCATGTAACCGTTTTGAATATGACCTTGGTAAGGCATACAATGTAGTTAACAAGCTTTTCCCGGGAAAAAACCAGGCACCACCTTGCTCAACATATACAACTAAAGAAAAACAGAGACAGTCCCTACCGGAAACAGATCTCGGCAACTTAATATCATGTTCAAACCAACAGACAAGAGGGGAAAGATTCTGAAGAACGCTTACAGACTAGAAAGAGCTGGCGTGTTCGTACATAGGGACTTGTCTCCTGATGATTCAAACACAAAAAGGAAAAGTATGAGAATAACTGAGATCGACATCAGCAGCAGGAGGGAAAGATCTAAAAGTGGTGGGTTTTTGTGTAGCGAGGTTTCGGCAACACATTGTACCGAAGTCTCTATGGATAGGACGAAAACTCATTTAGGTGGTTTTACCGCTTTGTACACCAATCCACGTAGCCCCCTAAGCAAGTGGACTGAGCTTAGTAATATGATCAGTATAGGAATTCCTGACACCACCGTTCTGTCAAAAACCTAGCTCTCTTCTGAGATCAGTGACAGTGAAACATATTTACTACCGTTCGTTCCTTTTAGCACGCAGAGGTGATGCTGTTATCCTTTAGGTCAAGAATACGTAAACTGTGAGAGCCATATTAATGGTTACACATGACAGTGGGACATGTGAGATGCTGGGCCGCTGGCTAAGATGTAGGGGAGAAGATGTTAACCTAATCGTAGTATATCGAAGCCCTGAATGTGAGGCAGCAGACTTCCTAAATAAGCTAACATTCTGAACAGACAACTGCTGATGCCTAATTATAGAAGGCTTCAACGCACCGCCAGTTGACTAATAGGCCAACACCAGAGGCATCACGTTACTCACTTGATCACAGGTTGGTGGGAACACCAAGTTCCTTGGTCCTTATGCAACATATTAGGACAGCAACCAGATATGATCATCGGTATGCTCCATCAATACTAGACTTAGTATTCTCACACAAAGATGATCTATACTTCATCCACCACCTTGCATCCCTTGGTAAAAATGATCGTGCTGTAATCATTTTCAGATTCACAGCAACCGTCTTCTACCAGGCCCATGCCCAAGTCAGCTGCAATGGATGGCAGTTTTTTCGTAGGACTGGAAAGTCAATTCAGAAACCTGATTTGAAGCCGCATAGTGCTACTTCAAATAGTTAAATACAAGAATGACTCAGCTTTTCATTCTGTGAACTGTTCCGTAGAGATGGAAACACTGTCATCCATGGATAAACTACGAAATCCGAATCTGGCTACGACTCAAGAAAAAGTGTTAGTCTTGCCACCCACCTCGGTACTCCCGAAGTGATGATGCATTACAAAGAAGCCTGAAATAAATGTATTCATGCTATCCACCGGTCTCGAATATGCTTTGAAACAAGTCTTGCCCAGGCTATGTTGCAACATCCAAAAAGGTTATTTTTTGTATGAAGTATAGGAATAAGGTGTATCGTGGTTTACCCACTCTAACCAAAGGGACAGAAACTGACTGTTTAGTTGTAGACGGTAGGGAAATAGCAGGAACTATGGCTGGATATTTCGTCAAGGTCTTTACTGGGGAACCTTCCGCGGACACTAATTCAACGGTAAAAGCATTGACACGCGACAGGATGAACTATGTGGATATCGGTCGCAATTATTTATTTTTGGCATTAAGTACTCTTAATGTAGAAAAATCAACGGGATCGGATGAGCTGCGGCCAAGATTACTGAGATAGCTTGCACTCTATGTAGATAACCCATGGACAGCCATGTTTAGACTGTCCCTCAGTGAAGGCACACACCCATGGTTGAAAGCATGCCATAACCACGCTTATCTGCAAGGCAGGTTCTGGGCATCATCTATCAAATTACAGACCGATAAGCTGAACTAGTATTGTAGTTAAATCCTACAGAGAGTAACCAAGAAATCCACTGAAGTTCACTCAGATAGCATCACCCTATTGTCTTGTTTGCAGCATGGCTTTTGCAAAAAATTTCGCTTGACGAAACTTCTCATAGCCACAGAAAGTTGTGTTAAGTTTAAGGATAATACGATACCTGCAGATGTCACTTACATAGACTTCAGCAAGGCGTTCGACAAGGTACCTCATTCCAGGTTGCTAAGGAAACTGGAAAGTTTCGTAATCACTGGCAGTCTGCTTGAATGTATCAAGGAATTCTTTAATGGTATGAGACGATGAGTGGGATAAATCCTCAACTATCATCTTGGAAGACAGTGAAGAGTGAAGTGCAGCAAGGCACAATCCTGCGTTCCTTTGTCTTTTGTACATAAACGACCTCCTAAACATTACGTGATCTCCTATGATTGTCTACGCTAATGATGTAAGAATCTGGGAGGAAATTAGAGATGATTGGGATGTACGTGCACTTCAGGTGGATCTAAACAACTTGGTTATCTGGTCAGTGAAGTGCTTGATCCCTATCAACCCGGATAAATGTGTGAGCATCCGCGTGGGGCACACACATGGCAACACATACGATATCGGTGGGACTCTATATTTAATACTGACCCACAATGACTTAGGAGTCACAGTGAGTTCTTAATTCCGACTGATATTGTCTTACGGTCCTCACGAACTCATTAGGGGTGAGTAATCTGTAGCGTTACATACTTTCCTAGAATCAATAGCCTAGGGTTTGATGAGATTCAGCATTGATCTTGACCTCCATAGTTTTATCGGACTCGCTAAGCTGAAGGCATACGGTCAAGCATCCACGCCAGTCGGCACGCTGTCATATTACGTTGCACTGCTCGTACTCGACTCTCCAACGAGCTAGTCGGAACGCGTCGGTATTTTGGCATGACCTTGCAAACATAGCATTCCATCTCACTACGCTAGTAGGTTTTTTCTTCGTCTCGTATTCGTGGGCATATTAAAAGGATAATTAGTGATTAGCCTCTGAGCCTGTCAATTTCGCACAAGGACAATATCCTAAAATGATTTGAAAGCCACGACACACTGTTGATTTATCTCAGCTCGGAGTCTTAAGACGCTTTGGGCATCACGTAGAACGTTTAAAAAAATAAGTGGTGATATGTTTACCACTCCATACACATCTTTAGTTACGTCTAGATGAGAACATTTCGGAGACGTAGCAGCAGAACACAAGAGCAAAGAACGAACGTAGTTTCCACAGGTACTTGTTCCCGCGTCGAGCAATCAACCCCTGAAACCAACTCTCAGAAGAAGCGATGCCCACATTATCAACTGGCTTGTTCAAAAGAGAACTGGAAAATCACAGAGATGTACTGGGAAAGAATCAATATGGGCTCGTAGCCGACTGTCAACAGACTAAAGGTCTTAAAACTGAGGCAGCTAGCATTTACTTGGACGACACTTTGTAAACTTCGGGTTTTAGCCCGAACCTACTTCAGGCCCACTCTGGAACTTCTAACACTCCTAGGGACAAACTTTGGGCGCACTTTGGAAGTTTTCCAGTATCGAATATCTGTTTAACGAGCTTGTGTCAACCAGTTGATTTCTTGCTCGCTTCCTGATCTTGCGGAATGGTTCCAGGTCTTTGGCGGATCCCGATAAAGTGGGTCCAGCCACTCGTCTGCTATAGCTTTGGTATACAGAACAGGAGGCTAAGTGTTGGTTAGTTCGCCTTGGACTACGGTACAATTGGCTTCTTCAGATGTCAGGTTGCTGGACAGTTGTTCGGACTAGCCGTCAGAGAGAGTTAGGGATAGTGAAGATAAAACCTAGAAAGGAAAATATGTGCGGGTAAAAGGGAAAAGAAAAGTGGACTAGTGGAGTAATCTACTTACACCCAAGTTAAGCGAAAAGGGGAGCAAAGATATGAAGAACTTATGTAAGGCTAACTCATGCCAAGTGGAAGGGATGAAAAGGGCTCAAAGGGTTCCAGTAGAAAGAAAACCGGTTGTAGAGGTAAAATAGTTGGAATGGCGTGACAACAATAGATTTCTTCTGTTTAATTCATATTCCAGATACATGCGGATCGACCATGGGTCCCTGCGTGACTGTCTAGCCTCTTCTTGAAGCTTTCAAATGGTTTAGGAATCTCGACGAATATCAAGCGTCTTTCCATTTCAGCTTGTAGTAAAAATGTTGGGATTTTGCCCGGTATTTTGAAATTGAGCCTGAAGTGCTGGTTAACCAGCACTTACTTGTTCTCAACCACCCATAAATAATGCATCGCAGAAGTGTTGATCATTAAGTCGATTCAAGAAAAAGTTCCGGACTTAGAGTCAACTTCAAGCCAGTGTTGGATTATACAGATAATATACACAGGTCTAGCTTTGAGTTACTTAAATGTTTTGATGATCACTAACTCACTTTAATATACCGGCTTGTCAAAAATGTATCTGCGTTTGAAGCAATCATGCCATGAAGAGGCACAATCAACTCTACTTCACATAGGTTTTCACACCACCGAAAATCGGTTATTGGAATCAACATTTTTGAATATTGTTTGTGAGCGAGACCATGGTGATCCAATATCCAATATACAATGAACAATTCCAATATCTAATATCCAATATCTTTTTAACAAGCTTGTATAAATCAACTGATTTCTTCGCGCTCGCTTCTTGGTCTTGCGCAACGGCTCCAGAACGTTTGCGGATTCCGATGCAGTAGGTCCAGCCACTCGTCTGCTATAGCTCTGATTTACAGAACAGGAAGTTAAGTGTTGTTTTGTTTGCCTTGGACAATTCATTTACGAGTTGCTGTAGAGGTCATCTCCTTTGATGTCACTCCTTCATTTTCAGAAAATGCTCTAAGCTCTCGATGTATCACTCTGCCTTCAATTTAGTTTCTCTTCTGCTATATTATTGGGAAGCACAGGTGGTGGGATGAGTGCTATGTTTCGAAAAACACGATTTCTCCTACACTATTTGAGGTGCTTCTTTTTTAACGGAAAGCAACCCAAGTTTGCCCCAAGAGGCAACATGTAAAAGGTAGGGTGGAGAGAAGGGGAGCAGTGTTCAGGTAACTAGAGTGAATAACAGCGTCTGTGGAGGGAGACAACCTCATTCAAACTGGCTTTAGATATCGGTGATCTTATCCTATCGATTCTTGAGGCAACTGAAACAGGTGTAGAAGTTCCTCATCTCCAACAAAAAAGTTTTTGTTTCACCACAACCGGGAAACCCGCGTATGACCTGACAACCAGCACACTTTTTTCCGGGACTTTTCACTTTCAGTGTTTTGCTTCGTCCGTGGCTGAGAAATATCTGCCACTGCCAAGTTAACGCAGTGGTGAAGACAGAAATTTACGACCATTACTTTACCCACCTTTAGACTGCAGAAAACTAGGGGATGTGGTATATCATAAACAGACCCGTTAAGTAATGCTACATTATGAAGAGAATTGTACACCGTTTTTTAGGTAGTCTTCGATCGAAGATTTAGGCCTATGCTACGGCTACGAAAACTAACCTCCTTGTCATATGGGATTTTTACCGATTAAGCAGTATGACAACTATAGATATCTGATTAATTATTTCGGACTGATAACCCCGTCCAAATCACGAAAAGCGTCTCAAGTAGTTGAAGAAAGCAGCACATGTCCACTTTTCACCTTTTCTAGTGGTTACAAGCACAAGGGAGGAAAGCGAATGGAAGAGAGAGGATCACATAAAAGCACCCAGTTCGCAATCCCAGTCAATAAAGCTATCAAACCTGGGAGACAATCAGACATTACAAACTAAGTTCTTCCCATTGGTGGACACTAATCAAGCTCAAGATGCGACCCTTTCCACGACATAAAAAGGAAAACAAACCGGAAAAAGAGGATATAACGTCTCATTATAATCCAGGATGCACCAATCAGCAAGTGATATATGGTAAAGAAGACAACCATTTCTCCATCTGGAGCGGCATGCCAAGATGTGCGCGCCGAACTTACAGAAAGCCTATTACTCGCCCGTGACAGTCATATAGTGCCAATAAAGTTGGTATGAAACCTAGCCTGAACACCAGATAGACTATCTTGTTTAACAGTGAGTAGTGCATGAACACCCTGATACCGGACCTGCAGAGGTACGATATGAGTCCATGAACCTATGCATTCCGGCCAATGGGAAGGAAGCTAACTGAATCTGTCTTTATCTAGACTTTCGCCCAGACAGCACCCCACGAATAAATCCAGGAACTTGCCGCCAGCCAATTCCAAAGTATCAACAGTTTGGACATGTGTTATGAAAGCCCTTCTTTATACCTGAGTCGTACAACCGATGTCAGGACAAGACCCATCAAGCTCCGGTTTACTTGAAAACAAGCAGGTAATGAACGAAAGGATATCTCCATTCCTTATAGTTAGTCATTCATCATAAAAGGCATGAAGAAGCCCCTCAGTGGCATGATACCAACCAGTGAAGAAACTGACTGAAGAAACTACATTATCACCTTGCTTGCACTCCAATATGATTACTGGCCTTTCCAGGCCCTAGCACTATCGCTTACAGCATCTCCAAGCCTGAAAATTTGGCAAAATAAGGCTACAAATGTTTCGAGCCGCGTCAAAATAAGTAGGAATAAGGCAGCCGTTCAACTTAGGTTGGTCATCGGTAGTGGCTCTTAGTAGGAGACTAACGGTGGGGAACAGAGCTAAAGAATAAGAAAATAAAGGTTATGTTTTCAAAGTATACATGATATGTCTGTATAAAAAGAAAGCCAGGAGATATGTAGATGAGACTATGAAAGTAATGAGATTACACTGCTGAAGTAAATTTGCGAAAATGCATGTGATCCACTTATAGGAAAAAGGAAATGGAACTGTAAGCTAACAATCGTGCAGTTATGCGTTACGCCGAAAGCTCGAAATTAAGAATTATTCGGCCATTGTTTGAACCACCGAATATTCCTGAGGGTGAGGAGGGTGGCACTGCATCGACCTTCAGTCTTACATGTTCTCTATCGGCCCATGACGACACGGTATACGCTTACATTTGCGATTACTGGGGTCCCACATGAATTAGAGACTGATCGGTCTGACCTGAAAAATCAATGACGGAAGAGGGTGGAGGGCCGAACCCAAAACAGGACCACAAGAATACGGCGCAGAAGCACATTAGTAGTGATATATATATGAGTTAGCTGTAGTGGCTACATAAATTAGTTGATACAGTACCCTGAACCAGCTGCTTCCAGACCATATTAAGGAGTAGAAGATGAGGTTATACGTGGGGGTTATGAAGAGGAAGCTGAAGACGAGGATATGGTGATGGAGTGAAAAGAAGGGAGGGCATAGAACTTGTTATGCGCTTACGTGCAGAAAACCGGTGGACACAAGTAAAATGGAGTTATAAACATATAAATAAATAGCACGATTTTTGCTGCAGTAGTAAACATGCTTTGTATAGTCAGGGAAAAGGAATGACCATGATGTCGTCTCTTGAGTATTATCGCACAGGGGCCGCAGAGGCAACACAAGGGTGCAGAGTGGGCTGTGGCAGTAGACATGGCCAATCTGTATTCACGGTCAGCATCTAATCACACTGAAGTGCTAGGAATTTGCGAAAGCAAATGGAATGGGAGTGGACTCTCCAAACTGTCAAGTGGAGAATCAATAATCTACCCCGGTCACCCAGACGGCAACCACGAGCATACTGAGTTTTGGAGTGGCTATCATGATGCCCCCAGGAGCATCGAAGGCCCTCATGCAGTGGGAATTAATCTCCTCCAGGATTAGTATCATAACAGCAAGGTTCAACTCAAAAGGAAGGAAGGTCACAATCAGACAATGCTACACACCTACAAATAATGCAGATCATGAGAAAAAGGAGGGGTTCTACAGATAACTGCGATCAGCAGTGGACAAAACCTCAGTTGGCGGTATCAAAGTTCTAATGGGCGACATGAGTGCCAAACTGGGAGCAGACAACACAGGAAGAGAACAAACCATGGGCCAAGAAGCGCTAGGTGAGGTGATGAACGAGAATGGAGAACTGTTTGCAGAATTCTGTGCATTCAACTACTTGGCGACTGGAGGCGAGGCACTGTGTTCAAGCACAGGGATATCCGCAAAGCGACATCGATTTCAAGGGATGGACACACTAAAAATCAGATCGACCTCATCCCAATGTAGAGAAAGGGAAGACGCAGCCTACTTGACACGAGGTCAAGAAGGGGAGCAGATGTGGGTTCAGACCACTATCTAGTGCAAGGAACCTTCCAAATCAAGTTAAAAGCCTTCAAAGAAGCTGGTGGTAGACCACAGTTCAAGTACAACACCCAGAGGCTGAAGGATGAAACTACAAAGAGAATCTTCACGTCAGCCAGTCATGACAACAAAATGGGGGATACCGAGGAACATCCCTGAAGAAACCTGTGTGGATGAGCACTGGAACTCTTTGAGAGCTATATGGGAAGAAACCTGTATAACCATAATAGGAAAGAACAAGAAGGAAGATGAGGAGTGGATCTCTATGGACACATGGAAGCTGATAAAGAAGAGGAGGATGGTGAAGCAGAAGATAAATCAGTGCAAGGATGCACAAAGAGAAGAGGACAAAGAACTGAAGAAGAGTGCGCGGAAGGGAAAAAGACACTCCTACGAATCACTGGCAAGTGAAGCAGGTGAGAGAGACCTGACAACGTTGTATCAGATAACCAGGTTAATGATAATACCTTTCACACAACATAAGTCACATGAAAACAAGCCAGTCCATGGGTATGATCATTTTGGTAATGTGAACTGACTCTTATGTACATTATCAAGCTATGCAATAGACACCATTCTTTCCGGTACATAAAAGATGCGTCTAGATTAAGAAAGTTATTGCTTTGCAGCATAATTGTTCATTATACTGAGGCAAGCTTGGTTCGAAGGCGGGAAATATTCGGCTATTGTTTGAATCTCACTATCTGCGGAGAGAGCAACAAGCATGAAACCAATAAAAGATGATGAAGGAAATTTATTTACGAAAGGAGAGAAACAAAGGAAACGATGAACCGACCACTTCAAAAAGCTCTTGAATCGACGACCACCTGCACTTCGTCTAGAAGTACCACCAGCGGCCCCGCCACAGAAATACAAGTGAACATAAGTCCTCCAACAAAAGTCAAGGTCCTGAGCCCCACAAAGCTACTAAGATACGGGAAAGCAGCATGACTAGATGCAATCCCGCCACAAGCACCGAAAACAGACGCAGAGACAACAGCATACATGCTCACACCACACCAATATTGCAGAAGGTATGGAAGGAAGGGAAGATACCCGGAGATTGCAGTGAGGGTTATCTTGTCAAACTTCTGGAAAACGGAGACCTCAGTATTTGTAAGAACTGGGGCAGAATCACGCCCCTATCCACCCGGGGAAAGCAAAATATTAAGCCGTATCATCCTGAAGAGACTGAAGGGTGCATTTGACTCAAAACTACGGCCGGAACAGGCAGGCTTCAGGAAGTACAAATCATGTGCCGACCAAATTGCAACGCTTCACATCATCATAGAACAGAGTATAGAATGGCAGTCAACCCTCCACCTCAACTTTAACGACTTTCAGAAGGCTTTCGACGGTATCAACCGACATGT